CAGGCAACTGATCACAGCTGTGCTTGCACTCCTGGACACACGTTTGTGTTGAAAGACTGCTGGACACAAAGTTTGCACTAAAGGCTCCTGGACACTGTGAACTGGAAGATTGCTGAACGTGACTTTGCACTGAACGTCTCCTGGAAATAGGTGTGCACCGAAAGACTGCTGCATACGAGTTTGCAATGAAAGACTTCTGGGCACAGGTGTGCACTGAAAGACTCCTGGAGACAGGTGTGCACTGAAAGACTACTGAACACGAGCTTGCGCTGAAAGACTGCTGAGCACATGTTTGCAGTGAAACACTGCATGGGGAACACACCTTTACACCGCAAAACGCAGGTTTACGGTGAACGGTTCACAAACACCGACTACCACTGAAAGACTTGTGAACACATCTTGGCACCGAAAGACGCAGACTTCTACGGAGACACTACCACGGAGATCATGTCTGACTAAGAGAGCTGACAAATACTGCACGAATACAGCACGCGTTACGCAGACATTCCCCGCGCCTGGGATGGGAGGGCCGTCCTGTACACATCGCTGCCCCTGCCAACGCCATATCACACAAAGCAGGAATCTCGAGCGATGCATTTCAAACGGCCAACCCGTGAATACGTGACCGCCACATGCGATAACACACAACACGAACAGTACACTAACGTCCAACGATCACGCGCATTCACTCACACGTGAGATCAATACACGGTAACTGTGTTGAACAGCCAGATGATGACATTGCTGAGTATGTTGACGCCGACAGACGGCTGGCCGCCGGTGGTCGTTCCAGCCAGGTAGCGCGGTTCCACGGCAGCAGGAACCACAGGCCTTGGTGCCCAAGCGTCTGGTGGTGGAGTGTGGGATCGCCGCCGCGGTTCCACGGCAGCAGGAACCACAGGCCTCGGTGCCCAGGCGTCTAGTGGTGCAGTGTGGGATCGCCGCCGCGGTTCCACGGCAGCAGGAACCACAGGCCTTGGTGCCCAAGCGTCTGGTGGTGGAGTGTGGGATCGCCGCCGCGGTTCCACGGCAGCAGAAACCACAGGCCTTGGTGCCCAAGCGTCTAGTGGTGGAGTGTGGGATCGCCGTCGCGGTTCCACGGCAGCAGAAACCACAGGCCTTGGCGCCCAGGCGTCTGGTGGTGGAGTGTGGGATCGCCGCCGCGGTTCCACGGCAGCAGGAACCACAGGCCTTGGCGCCCAGGCGTCTAGCGGTGGAGTGTGGGATCGCCGCGCCGCCGGCTGCGTCATCTGTTTCTGCTCCGCCGCAGCCGTTATGGTAGCGTTCTCCGCTGCGAAGCGAGGATACGTGAGTCCACCTAGAGAGACCTGTGGTAATAGCGGGACTGTACGTGAGTCCACCTAGAGAGGCCTGTGGCAATAGCGGGACTGTACGTGAGTCCACCTAGAGAGGCCTGTGGCAATAGCGGAACTGTACGTGAGTCCACCTAGAGAGACCTGTGGTAATAGCGGGACTGTACGTGAGTCCACCTAGAGAGACCTGTGGTAATAGCGGGACTGTACGTGCCGCTCAATGGGGCATTCAGGTGTTGAAGGAAAATCTTCTCGAGTGAAGGCAATGGCTGGTAATAAGTAATGCACAACATAAGGTTCTATGTAGTCGCAGTTGTCTGAATATTGCACTTGATAGCGCAGTGGCCTGCGCAGACCATAGGAGCATCGCTGAGGAAGCTCTATTATCTTAAAGCAAGTGGAATTACCAGCCGAACTTCACTGCGCTAAGTCCTAATTTAATGACACGTCATTGATTGTGCACTGCATACGGTAGACGCCGGAAATGTTCTCGGCAATTCCTATACACACCAGAGTTACTAATGACATGTCAAGGGAAGAGGCTTCTCCCTTCCTGCAAGGACCCTGCAACTGCAACCACGGGATTGCTGAGATAAACAAACGACGGTATCACATACGCATGGACCAGGTTCGATGGTGACCAAGATTCGAGTGATGAGGCACGCGCCCAACACCACGTCACTACTCACAGCCTCTGAGAAGCGTCAGCCCGGACGACTGGGCGGAGGGCACTGGACGACTTCGCGCACTGTTGCTGGAAGCTTGCGCGCCGTCGTGCCCCGCAGGTCACTCCGCCTTCACAGAAGTCAGGCGACGGGCCGCCTCGGGCGCTGGCCGAGGTCGCCGACCTCTTGTCCTCTACGGAGCGGGGCAGCGCGCCTGCAGCAGACCGCCAACCTCAGCTGGAGGGGGGGGGGGGGGGGGACACGCCGCCGCTCGGTCTCCGCGCACACACGCGGAGCCGCGTCGCGCCCGCAGGCTGCTTTTGCTGCGGCCCCGGCGCCAATGACGTCACAGAATCCGTGTACAAACAGACCTTGAACTTGACCGAGCTACGCCGGCCGGTCCATGGGCGGAAAACGGCGGCGCCGCACGCGACCGGCGCCGCCGCCCGACGTGTCCTGACACGCCGGTGGGCGCGGCGCGGACCGCGGTGAGTCCGGCCCGTTCGCAGCAGCATGTGACGGTGGAGAGGGTAGCAGGTCCGATCCGTGCTATAAACCCGCTCACTGGTACGTCCGGATGGAAGCCAAATCTGCGATGCTACGCCGGGAATCACGAAAATCATGCTATCAATTCTTTCAACCCATCATTTTATTATATCATGCACTGTGCATGACCCCAGTTTTGTTAGGCAACGCTGCTGGATATCTACCATCACATGGGCCGAGTCCAGTGTGTCTTCGCCAAGAGGAACGGGAGGCGCGCAGACATCAGGTCGGGTCTAATCTGAGCCGTGTCCGCAATACTTGGCATACTTGGCACACACGGCACGTGCGTGTGCCAGGCTTATACCTATGTATTCTACTTTCCACGCGGGCGAGACGGCTGCCCATATGGCCCGTGTATACTGCCGTGTATACCGCCGTGTATACCCGTGTATGACACGTGTATACCGCATGCTGAACGGGAAATAATCAAATCGGGCTTACACGTCTGCGCAACTGATGCGCATGCCACGTGGCAGCACTTATTCGGAACGAATACAACGCACCTTTAATTGGCAACGCAGCAGTGGCAGGCACCGCCTATCCTAAACCGCGCACTGCATCAGGTCAGGGGGCCGTAACAGTGCCATAGTGCTGCTGTCTTCCTGCGCAACAGCTGGGTAAATGGCTCCACAACACGGAAAGTGGGCCGCGGCGTGGAGGCACCCCGAAAAGAGCGGTTCGCACAGCTCGGCGGCGGCATGGAAATAATGCACGGCGGCATGGAAAGAATGGACTTCAAGGGGACATCCCATTTTTGGAGGTGTCACGCCCCCCCCCCCCCCGCTCGTCACCCTCGAGATGAAAAAATCGTGTTGAAAGGGGAGCGGGAGCCTCGAGAAGTTGCTGAACATGTAGTTTTCATTTGTTTTTTATGCAACGTCTTACGCAACAGACGGATGCAGCACCGGGTGCTGGGAAGAGCCAAAGGCAGATGCAGCATCGGATGCTGGGAAGAGCCACAGAACAGACGGGCACAGCACCGGGTGCTTGGAAGAGCCAAAGGCGGAAACAACACTGGATGTTGGGAAGAGCTAAAATTTATTTGCAAGGGGCTGGGTTGTAGAAAATTATACTTTTCGCAGCCACGGCAGGGCCCTGACGTCGTCCTGCCCGCATCCGCCCTTGTCATAACCTACGTCACATGGTTTATGTGACCACTCCAACTGTCCTTTGCACAGTGGGAGTGGTGATCAATACAGAGCTGTTTTACGGTTGAGGAGGGGTCACATTCACTAGCGCCGCAATAGCCGCGGGAGATTCAACCGGCTGTCAAAAACTGCAATGCGTCAAAGAAAGCTGGCAGTGCTAGCGTTACGCTGCACCTTGGCTTACGACATTGCGGTAATGAACAGATTGTGACGCGGCGTGTACTGTGCGCTACGGCGATTTAACACAGGAGCACTCGCACCAGTCACACACAGCTAGTCGCTGGGTAGACCCCATCGCTTGGTTTCTGAATACCAGTGGCGCAGGCGCAGGCCAGGTGGCACAGGCCGCTGGTCAGAGCGCGACACGTCCATCCACTTACCGGCTATCGCATCGGAGAGCTGTTCGTCCGAGCACGTGCCTCGCTGTCTCCATGGTGCTGCGGGGGCTGGCCGGCGCCGCTCTCGCTCCGCCTCTGTGTGCGGAGACGGTGCGGGGAGGGGAGGGGACGCTGTCCCGCAACCCTCAGCCCTCCCCCTCCTGGCGCCAACTGCCCCGCGCGCGCCCTTCCCTGCGTGGGGAGTGCGACGGCGTCACGAGGGCCCCCGGTGCGGGCGACCCAGTTGGCTCCGCCTTATGACATCATATCATCCAATCAGCGGCCGTTGCGCCGGTTCGTGGCCAATCAGTGGTAGGCATCGCCTGGCGCCGAGAGATGGGATCACGCGTAGCGGGCCGGGCGATAAGGTCTATTTTCTGCGCGGGCTCAGCACAAACACCGGTCTGGGAGCTGCCGTGGCGGCGCTCACACACGAATGAGGTTTGCCGCCCACCTCTCCCCCCCCCCCCCTCCCCTGCACCTGGAGCGCCGCCCGAGGGTGACAGCGGGCCTGGCCAGGCTGAATGATGGAATCGGTTACACGTTGCGTCCAAGCTCGGGGTCGGCTGAACAGCTGTGGACCAACTAAAGATGAGCATATGGCCACAGCTGGCTCCACGCAACCTCACATCCAGTTCCTGCACCGATAAGACGCTGCCAAGGCTCTGGCAGACTGCTGGACACTTCCGGGTTGCTGGCGTTCTTCGAGCTTCAGGCTCTCGCCGACGACACTGATGTCCCCCACCAGCCGGCGTCCCGGTAGCGGAGGAGCGGCTCGCCATCTGGGGCGCTTCGTGTCAGCCTCAGGCAGGGGGAAGATACCGATAAAAGTCGGCGTGGTAGGGCCTGCGGAACCTGAATCTCCCATTGTAAAACATAGAAGCCATTCACACTCAGGGGAAAGTTGGTGCGGCCGCCCAGGCCCGCGCGGTGCGGCCGCCCACACGACATCCTCTCCACCGATGTACCCAGTACACCAGACACCGCTGCCTCTGCCGGCAGCCTCGGGGCTCCGCCGTCGCCCCTCCCCCCCCCCCCCCCCCCCCAACACGTGGCGGCGTGTTCGGGAGCCCGGCGACGGGTGGTGAGCGCCGCCGCACGGTCGGCGACACGGGCCGGCTAGGCGGCGTCGGCACGTGAGTCAGCGCCGCACCGACGGCGGCATTTCCTGCCGTCACCGCCGGCTCCCTCTCGACCCCCCCCCCCCCCCCTCCTCCACTCACACACGTGTGCATACGTATACGCACGTATACACACGACACAACCGGGCATACCAGAAGCTAGGCTTGTGTCTGATCGCAGTTCAATGAAATCGATCTCGATCCAGACTCACAGTCCATAAGGTTGGTTAGGACTCTGAACAGCTGAGCACTGCCTGGCATGGTTCTGATTCTGACTTCAGAAGAATATGCCTTGACGTCAGAATTCATCCCGACGGAGTCGATTCGATCGCAAAAGCTGAGGCATACGCTGCTGTATGGGCCTAACAAAACCAGTACAGGACACTTTTCATAACGGCATTTTCACTTTTCATAACAAGACGAACGTGAGTTGAATCCTTGCGCGAATCGGCCCCCGCTCGCACCGAGTGGGGGCCATTATATTTCCCTGCAATTCAGTGCACATTACTTGCAAGCATTAACCTAATGTGACTTCGAGAAGGTTTCACCTCTACTCGATCCTTGCCCTTAGAGAAGACGGGCCCTGTACATTGGCAAACCTGGCATAAGATTTGCATCAAATTTCGCATTGTTCGCCACAGCCAGGGCGTATTCAATGGCAGCACTGAAGGTACGTGCCTCCACAACACATTTGACATTCTGTAGCGTCCCCCTAGGATATTTGCCTATTGTTATGAATGTCAATGAGTGTCTTCCTGTAAAAAATTCAGATGTACGTGGAAGCATAATTACGTTGACAACGTACAGTGTCGCTATACACCATGCCAGCAGGAACGTTGCCAAGGAGAGGGCCTTGGAACAATGGCCTTCCTCGGGTCAACGGGCTTACCCAGGATGCTGGGAGATTTTACAGGAATTTCCTTCAAATCGGCGGGGTTTAGGAGAAAATTTTACATGGCTTCCACCCCCTGACGAAAACTTTGACTACGTACATGCATACAATAAATTTTCTGCACCTATAGCGAGCCAGAAAAGGATTTTCAGTGAATGTATTTTGAGTTGTGTAATATCCTGTATACGGCCCCGGCTACAGAACACCCGAGCACAACATCACAAGGTCCCGAGAAAACAACAAAACACGGGAAGCCCTTCAGCTGCTGCTTGCCGGACATCTCGCCCTACGAGGGCTCCTGTCTCCAGGACCTGATGGCCCTCATGGAGGTGCTGTGTGCCGCCTGTCATGCAAACGCCACGCAAATCTGTATAAAGCGCAAGGTGCCGCAGTTGAAGTACTGCATCAGACGTGGCCTCCCCAGCTGATGACGGGAGACACGCCTGGCGGGGATCGATACCACGGCCTCCCCAGCTGATGACGGGAGACGTGCCTGGCGGGGATCAATACCATGGCCTCCCCAGCTGATGACGGGAGACACGCCTGGCGGGGATCGATACCATGAACTCCCCAGCTGATGACCGGAGACAGACTAGACAGGGATTGATACCATGAGTTCCCCACCTGATGACGAGAGACACGCCTGGCGGGGGTCGATACCATGAACTCCCCAGCTGATGACCGGAGACAGACTAGACAGGGATTGATACCATGGGTTCCCCAGCTGATGACGGGAGACACGCTTGGCAGGGATCGGTGCCATGAACTCCCCAGCTGATGACAGGAGACAGACTAGACAGGGATCGATACCATGAGTTCCCCAGCTGATGACGGGAGACAGACTAGACAGGGATCGATACCATGAGTTCCCCAGCTGATGACGGGAGACACGCCTGGCGGGGATCGATACCATGAACGCCCAGCTGATGACGGGAGACACGCCTGGCGGGGATCGATACCATGAACTCTCCAGCTGATGACCGGAGACAGACTAGACAGGGATTGATACCATGAGTTCCCCAGATGATGACGGGAGACACGCTTGGCGGGGATCGATACCATGAACTCCCCAGCTGATGACCAGAGACAGACTAGACAGGGATTGATACCATGAGCTCCCCAGCTGATGACGGGAGACACGCTTGGCGGGGGTCGATACCATGAACTCCCCAGCTGATGACCGGAGACAGACTAGACAGGGATTGATACCATGAGCTCCCCAGCTGATGACGGGAGACACGCTTGGCGGGGATTGATACCATGAACTCCCCAGCTGATGACCGGAGACAGACTAGACACTGATTGATACCATGAGCTCCCCAGCTCGTGACGCGAGACACGCTTGGCGGGAAGTGATGCCACAAGCTCCCCAGCTGATGACGGGAGACACGCTTAGAGACACTAAATTCACATAGAGTAGGTAGGACTCATAGAGTTAATTGGGGTCTACATGAACTTACTTTAGTCAGTTTAAATGTCCTTAGGTCGTGACCTTCAGATCAAATGCGGTGAAACAAGGTCAAACTCGAGGTCTACACCCGAAGTGGTTTAAGACCTCATCATGCAACTAGTTGCAGCCCACACACCTCTTCTAAACGAAACACCACTTACGTTGATAGCATGTCAATAGCCTCATCTGACCTTTAGAAGAACAAAATGAAAAAGCTTGGATAGTTTCTTCACATTTGAACTTTCAGCCAGCAGCAAGAACTAGCCTATGTAGCACGTTCCCCAAAACAAAGGATTGTTCGAGATCATTTTGGGTCAGTGACCTCCCATGATCCTCTGAAAGAAAGCAATGCATCTTTTAATGAACCTATGATCAGGGAACTCGAAATGAGCGTGAAAAACTACCGCAAGTTCGTGACCCTAGCCTCTACGGTTTACGTGTGTAAGAAACCATTTCAAAGTTATCTTACTTCGTCTAACACTCTGTCAGGCTAAAGGAAATTGAAATTAAATAGCCATTTTGATATAACTTTGATATAAATAGTCGTTTTGAATAGCCTTTTTTCGGTGCCCTCTATTTGTTAGCCATGACCGCGAACGATGCGTGCATTTCACAGATCGAGGTAATGTGGCTGTTGCCCGGCATGCGATTGCCAGATTATGCCTTTCACCACGTATCGCAAACCGGGGAAACACCAGCACATACCGTCCACCGCCCGCCGTGAAAGAAACATCATTTTAGGCATCAGCCGCAACATCCGTGCGTATCCGCGACTTTGAGCCGACAGCAGTTGCGCGTGTACCTCCCACACCCGTCACCCTTCAGCGCCAGCGCGTCTGTCGTGGCGCCCGTGAGTCACGCAGACCGCCCGGCAGAGATGCGGTCCGATAAGTCGCGTGAGTCACTGCCCATCACGGCCGGTGACCCACATCGACCGGTGCACTCACACCCACGTCACGGGCCGACCACCTGGGATGGCACAACCCGGAGGCGCCGGTCCGCGGCGGTGTCTCCCCGAGAACCAGGCGCGGGCCAGAAGAGGGGGGAGGGGGCGCACACAATGATAGCGGGGCCGCACGCGCCGTCATGTGTAAACTGGATCTGAGCCGTGGGTCCAGCCCTTAGCTCTGGGCTCGGCTGCCACGCCTGAACACGGCTTCGATCTCTGACAAAGGCAGAGGCATCTGACGCGGCTGAGACTCTGAGACCGAATTCGACGTCAGGACCCGGTTCTTATCACAGAGTTCGGTCTGACCACTCCCCCACCCTTCCCACCGTGTCCGATTCCGGCTTCTAAAGCTCAGTTCTGTTTGCTGGGCCCGGCTGTGACGCCTGAGCTCTTTCTTGCCTCCTTGCTCAGTTCCCACTATTGAGAGCGGCTGTGACTTCTGAGGCCACCTCTGACCACCGGGTGCTGTTCTGACGCTTGAGCCAGGGTCAGTTGCCGTGCGCCGCCGCTCAGCGGAAGCGTCACGCCCCGCAGCGGCTGACGCGGCCCGATCAGGTGCCGCGCCGCCGATAATGGCCGCCGCCGCCGGCCGGGTCAGAGGTGAGAGGCAAACAGACTGCGGCGCCCGCTGCCACCGGCGCACGTGCGCCATCAGCGCCGCAGAAGTGTGCCGCAATCGCCGCGTTTGCCTCCGGCGGCGCGGCGATGGTGGAGCAGGCGTGACCGCGTGGCCGCGGGGCACCGCTGCCGCCGCCGCCGCCGCCGCCGGTCCGCTGGGTTGCACCCCGCCGGGCTGGAGCCGGCCCGCCGCTGGGCGCCGCCGCCGCCGCCGCCGCCGTCGCCGCCGCCGGTCCGCTGGGTTGCACCCCGCCGGGCTGGAGCTGGCCCGCCGCTGCGCGCCGCCGCCGCTGGGCTGGAGCCGGCCCGCGGCTCATCGGGCCTAATTAACCGTTCATTTTCCAGCCGAGTTTTAAGGGCAATCTGTACAGTCGTGAAGGCGGCGCCCGTTCACGCTGGAGGGCCCCGCCGATTAGTTTCAGTTAGGTGGGCAGCGCCGCCACGCGTGCCGATCAGCCGACAGCTCAGATGGAGTTAGGCTCGAGCCGGATCCGCCCGGCGTGCAACGAGAAAACACACCAAAAGATGACGATACAACGACTTTCAGATGCATTTTTAACCATGCAAAGCGGTGGGATGGACGCAACGACACTGAGTTTTATGTAGCATGAGGCATAAAACTAGCATCAGCAATTAGCAACTTAACACTTAAAGGAAGTTTCACACTGTTTTGGACTTTTCACGCACAGTTAGATCGCACTGGTCGGATTTGATCGGTAATACCCTTTTTTCTAAATACTTCTAAAAACTTGTGTCCTCAGTGCCACAATTCGCCAAAGCCTTGTGCCATAAGTGGCACGAGAGCTTAGTTCTCAATTTAGGGAAAGCTATATATAAACATGAGGCCATTCTCACACGAATTCAACGAAACGTTGCACTTGTCCTTTGATTTATCTCCTATGTTGTTTAGCACAGTGACTC